GGGGGGGGGGGGGGGGGGCGCAGTGTGTGGCAGGGGCGGCGCGGGGGGCGTCGACGCGGGGAGCCCGTGGCGTTGCGGGGCAGCCCCTGCTGCTGCTGCGTGCGGCGCCGATGCTGCGCCTCGCTGGCCCTGCCCTTGACTTCCTTCCAGGCGCACCTGACCGTGCATCCACGATGTCTTGCATATATGCACGTGTACCCTTGCAGACGCCCAGCACATATCGCACACGCAGAGCACACGCAAGCAAGCAGCCGGGCTTTCATGCGTGCATCCCCCCAAAGTCCCCACTCATACCCCCACACATACACACACACACACACACACACACAAACCCAGGTCGGCACCCCAGGCCAGGAGCTGTTCCGCCTGCCACGCGTGGCCATGTGGACCAAGCTGCGCCCCGGCGCGCGCCGCTTCCTCGCCGCCGCCGCTGAAAAGTTTGAGCTCTGGATCCACACGGCAGGCAGCAGGTGCGGCGCCGGCCCCCTAAAAACGCCCAGCGATTGCAAGAGTGTCTGGTCCTAGAATGGTTGGCATCGTGGCATCTGCTGGCCGCCCCTGATCACCCGCTGATGAGGCGGTGTGGACCCTCTGCCTGCAGCGACGCCTGACTGTAGGCTGGCGCTGGGGCCAGGGTCGGCGCCGTCGGGGCGCTGCCACCAGAAGTCGTATCACACTGATCTGATGCGCGTGCCGAGTGTTCTTTTTGTGCCCCTTGGGCTGCCGCAGGTCGTACGCGCTGGCCATGGCGGAGCTGCTGGGGGCTCACTACTTTGGCAATCGCATCATCGCGCAGCAGGACGGCGCGGAGGAGGTGCAGGTGCGCACGTTCACGCCCGCACCGGCTTCCCTGGCACAGCGAGCCGCCGGCGGCGGACTTTCAGGGTTCACAGCGGCTCTGGCGATGCGGCAAGGGGTGCTTTGCAGGGGCATTCCACACTGCCCTGTATGTGAGGGCCTGGTGGCGGTTTGGCTCGGCAGGCCGGCAGGCCAACTGGCCCTTGGGCCGGAGGGAATCCCGCCGGAGCGTGCACTCCGCAAGGTTGCTGCATCTTATTGGCGCGACTGCGTCATGGGCCGCGCGCCGGCCAGGTCCTCAACAAGCGGCTGGCCTCCGGCCTGGAGGGACGCGAGCCCGTGGCCGTCATTCTTGATGATAGCAGCGCTGTGTGGCCCCATGACAGGTGTGGGAGCTTCCCTCGCTGCTGCCGATGGGAAGCTCGTCGCAACTGGGCGCGTTCAGAGGGGCACACGCGCGCGTGCGCGAGGCAGTCAGGGATGGAACGTCCTCCCAAAACTTGAGGAAAGCTTGGGGAGTAGGGCGACATAGGGATGGTTCAAAAACGGGAGTGGGGCCGTGTGCTGAGGGGCAGGCCAGGGAGACAGGACAGAGCAGATAGTATCATTGTCAGTGGCGGCCGCAGCACTTTGTGGCTTCCTGTTTGGGCGCGCCTTTGAGCAGGATCGTGCTGAGCAGGGAAGGTCGGGTTTGGCACCCAGATACTATCATCGGCCCCGCGGCCAACGCACCCACCAGGCGCAACCTTCTGGTGGCTGAGCGCTATGTGTGGTTCCCGACCGCGCGCGTCAAGGGCCGCGGGTCCCTGTTGGAGATGGGCAGGTGCGCGGACCCCCGCAGCCCCAGTTCGCCTTGCTGCCCGCAGCTGCGAACCGCTGCTGCGCGCCCGGTCCGTTGTGCAGGTGGAGTGCGCGGGCTGGGGCGCAGTGTCGCACTGTCAGCTGGCACGCAGCCGCCCCCTTCCTGTGATGAAGCAGTGGTCAAGTTGCGCTGATTGGCTATGTGTTGCCTCTGGGCGCCTGCGATGCTGGTGTGTGTGTGTGTGTGTGTTTGTGTGTGTGCGCGCGCGCGTGTGTGTGTGTGTCCCGCCTCACCCACGCAGGGATGAGTGCGCCCGAGGGGGCATGTTGTGCATCGCGATGGGCATCCTGGACAGACTGCACAGCGAGGTGGGAAACACAGCCGACGGCACGTAGAGCACAAGGATGGGGCGAGAGGCAGGCAGGAAGCCCTCCTACCTGCGCCTGCCTTGCCCAACGCCCGGCATCAAACTCGTGCCAACACCGTCCTATCGCCAGCCGGATATTTGCTCTGCTGCAACGCCACAACAACCACAAACGTGCAAAAGCAAGCGCGAAACTTTCCTCATCGTCTGCAGGCGTTTGAGCTCATACGCGTGCGAGAGCCTCAGGAGACTTGGGACGTCCGCGCCATCATGGAGCGCCACCGCCGCCGCGTCCTGGCAGGGGTGGTGCTCGTGTTCAGCCGAGTGATCCCCCTCGAGAGTGACCCCCGCTCGCACCCGCTGTGGCGGCTCGCGGAGCAGTACGGCGGCGCCTGCGCGCTGGGGGTCAGCGACGCCACGACGCACGTGGTCGCGACGCACGGGGGCACGGAGAAGGCGCGCGCGGGCCGGCGGCGGGATCCTGCTTGTGGGCCGCCGGCCGTCGTGGGGCTGTGTGCGCGCCCAGGCGGGCGGCGATCCGCTGGCAGCTGCGTGGCTGCTTGGGCCGCCCCTTTTGCATGCGTGATGGGACCCGGCTGCACAGCAGCTCTCGTGCTTTGCCGTTATCAACGGTTTTTGTGCTGTGATCAACGTCCAATCCAGGTGGCTTGGGCCAAGGGGAACGGCAAGTTCGTGGTCAGCCCTGGCTGGTGAGGGGCAGGGGCGCCTTGTCGCACCTCGTTGACCTCGTTGACGCGCATGAGCGCAGAAAATGCATGTGGCTGATGTACTGGGCGAATGAACGCGCCCTGGGATCGGCCTGTGCTTGTGGAGACGCGGCTCTGTGGCGCACCTCGCCGTTCCCTGAAAACAGCAGCTCCATGGCCGGCGGCAGGCGCGCGCGTGCGACAGCGGGCGCCCTGCCCGTGCGAAGTGCCCTCGCCCGCCCTCCCGCCTGCGGCTGCCAGGGTCGAGTGTTCGTGCATTCTCTGGACCCGGGCTGACGAGGCGCGGTTCCCCTGCCCTCAGTAGGAGTAGGGCCTGGGCGTCGCTGCTCACCGGTGCTTGGTCCGCCGCCCCTGCTGACCATGCCACTTTGGCCAGCAGGGAGGACACACACAGCTGTCAGGCAGGCAGCACACATAGTCAAAGCTAAATGGTCGTATAGACAGCAGCCTTGTATGTATGTGGCTCGCATGCTTCCTTTTCCTCTGCCATGTTTGATTGCGGCAGCGCTAGAACAGCTGAAGCTTCCCGTCTGTGGCCGCAGCCTGCATCACCAGGACTGCGGTGGGTTCGGGACTCGCGCGGCCAGGGCGGGTTAGTCCCATGTGCTTGAGGCCCTTTACTCACGCACGATGCATGACTTTCTGGCATTCAAGTGTTATTCTCCCCGGCAAGTTGGGGCTGGAACACCCACTGCAGCCATATGGCACGCGTAAACACACACCGCCGTGTTATGTCGGCATGCGACAGCAAAGCTCGCAATTCTGGCCGTCATGACGTGGCCGCCGGCAACAGCAGGGTAAGGCAGCCGCTCTGATTACGCATGTCATATCTGGGGCAACAGCAACGGGTCCTCAAGAGCGTGCTGACGTAATGCACATCAGCACTTTCGGAACTCCCGCATATATATACCCCCCCCCCCTCCCCGCTCCGACGACGACGCCCTTGTCCGCTTTAGTGAGTACTGCTGAGGAACCCTAGATTGCTGCCGCCTTGCATGCTACTCCAGCATAAAAGGCGCTGAATTTGGGAACTCCAGGGGATCGTGGCAACCTGGCTGCAACAGCACATACAGAAGTGACAAACCGGTGTGACTTCCAAGCTGTTGTGACATCAGATGGACCAACCACAGGGCGTTGTTCAACAAGATGCATGACACACTGTGATAGCCAGCACTCACAAATTCCAGTCAAATGGGGGGCTCAGGCATGGTCCTTTGGGAGCTTGGCTAGGCACAGCCGGCGAAGTGGTGGCCTCAGGATCCCAACGCGATTTTCACCGCGCTGGCCTGCCGCATCGGTGATTGGCCCCAGTGGCACTGCGCCCCCCGTGGTGGAAGTTTACCATCTAAATAATCATACTACCTATCACTCCTGAGCACGCGTGTCTTTGCGCTGAGGGTGAAACGTGTTGTGAACCATGACCTCCTGGGAGCGAATTCCGAGGCAAATGCACATCTGTTGACCCCAAAGGCCCACGTAGACAGTTACCAGTTCAGCTCGTTTTGCGTGTCTATGAAGGCGTTCTGTTCCGCAGGCATACATACACGCGCAACCCGAGTACCTCCAGCGAGGTTCCATAGGGGTGAACTTTTGGCGGAGCCAATTCAGGACCAAAACCCATTTGCAGGCCGCTACCGCCACGGGTGAGCTTGTTCACACCGCACATCAGAAACGGTGGAGTGGCAGCGGCCGCCGGACGCGCCTTGCGGCTGATCAACCGCACTGTGTGCGGCCAGGCCGGGTGACGCAAGCCCCAAAATCAGTGCGGAGCACAGATACGAAGCTGCTTGCTGCTGCTTGCTGGCATGCCATGTGCCTCACATGTGCGACTGTGGTGCTGCAAGTATGCGTCAGCCGCCTGTGATTGACGCACCCCGTCCCCGCGATGCTCCCGCCGCCTGCATCACTCGCAGCCACAGCCTGGGCCGCGGGAAGCGCAAGCCGGGGATGGCGCGCCCGGCGACGGCGCGGCTGCTGATGGCGGCGCTCATCGCCTTTTCTGCGCTCTGGCTGGCAACGCCGGCTGCTTGCGCTGGCACGCCGCCGCCAAATGTTGCAGCGCTCTCCACCGGCTGGGAGGCCGGGCACGGGAGCGACTGGCCGACAGAAATTTTGCCCTCGCGCGGCCAGGGGCGGCGGCTGATGCAGACCGTCCGACCAGACGGCAACATCAGTTATACCATGCCGAGTAATGCCACTGTCTACAGCAGCCCGGCGGGTGGTGGTCTGCTGGCGGTGGTAAACAGCCTCCTTGGGGGGACCTTGGGTAATCTGGGCCTGTATCGCATCAGCGTGACATCGCAGCCAAAAATTGGTAGTGTCGTCGTCTCTTCAACAACCGGGGATTTCACATATACTGCGCCAGCAGTCTCCTATGGCGGTGAGCGTCTGCTGCGCGGTGACTGCTGCATGCTACTCGCTGCTGCTCATGCATAGTTTTGCCGGCATGCATACAAGCAGCGCGCGTGAGGGATTCGAGTTGCAAGGATTGTCACGGCAGGGCGTGACGTGAGCCGCAGGTTGCTTAAACAAAAACCTGTCATCTTCATGACATCCCCGCAACACCAGGGTTTACGGATTTCTTCTGCTTTCAGACGGTGACCCTGCTTTTACTCGTGACAGACTCGAGGTGTGCCTACATCACCAGGGCCCCCGACTGCAGCAGTCCGGCCTGCGTCCGCGGGACGTGCGCCGCGTACAACACCTGCAACTGCACAGGGACCAACTACACAGGCTCGGACTGCAACACACCAAGTAAGCAGTTTCAGCTTTGCTGCTTTCGTTGCTCGCAGCGAACTTTCTCGCACACTCCATTCAACAGCGAAATTGATGCCAACATACTTGGCCTTTGCAACATGTTGTGGTATCAGTGTCATTTCTGGGCTGCAATGACGCGCTCACTCTGCCAGGGAGCACAATCCTCGCTGACGCTTGTTATTTCACCTCCCTTTCATCCGTCCCTGCAGCTTGCAGCCCTTCCTGCGTCAATGGGGGCTCTTGTGTGGGCGTGAACAACTGCAGCTGCCCGTCCACCTACACCGGACCCACCTGCTCCACACCTGGTAAGCAACCCCACGAGTTGACTGTCGTTGCTGGGCTGTTGCCTGCGATGCCACTGGCTGCATTGGCAGCCCAGCCCCTGCAAGCGCGTGCACCACGCCAGCTCTTGCATTTCATCTCTGCCCCTCACCCATCACCTTGCAGTTGTGGTCCGCACCCCCTGTGTCAATCCCCTTGTTGCTCCTCTGCCCTCATGAGTGCAGACAGAATGCTGCAGCCACCCACTCAGTAGTTGGTCACCAACAACAGCTGTCGTCCCTATAGTATAGGACTCACTCTGGCTAGATGCAAATTTGAATTTGGCAGTGTGTCACATAGCAGAATAGCTAGAATTGAGTTTGGCCCGGGCAATTTGTGGGCCCTAACATTTAGTATTGAATCAAACCTCGCTTGTTTAGGTATTTGTGCAATCTTTCATTGGCGACAAATTGTTGCAACCACTGCCTAACTCCCCCCCCCAGCCACCACCTCCTCTAGTAACTCGTTTGTTGTGAACCCACTGGTTGTCGGGCTCACAGAGTTTGCCTGCAAACACGTTTCATGAAATTCAAGCCAGCTGGCACTAAATTTTTGCCATCCAAAAACGCACAATCACGTGCAGTTTGCCCTGCCGGGTGCGTCAATGGGAACTGCTCGGCGCCTGGCGTGTGCACCTGCTCATCTGGCTGGAGCGGCACCTCATGCAACACCCCAGGTGAGGCCGCGTCCGCAGCAGCCAGCGGTGGGTCGTCAGCTCGGCCCAGGCACACTGCATGCACTTGGAAAAACACTTGCAACAATCCGCCTGTCCAGTGACGCTTGGGCAGCACCAAGAGAATTGTGTCTTGCTGCACACCTGATGGCACATTGCATATTTGTAACAGCAGCAGTGAGAACCTATCTGAGGTTGCTGGCACTCCACTCACACCCACCCTCTGCGGCGTACTGCGTCCCTCCCCGTGCATAGTGTGCCCTGCGGGATGCGTCAATGGGAACTGTTCTGCGCCCGGCGTGTGCACCTGCTCGTCTGGCTGGAGCGGCACCTCATGCAACACGGCTGGTGAGGCCTTGGTCGCAGCAGCCAGCGGCGGCTTGCTCAATTACCTGGCCAAAGCAGCTGCGTCCAACCAGGGATGAAGGGCTAACCACAGGCACATCCTGCACTCAGTAAGCAGCAGCATCATCCAGCACGTTTTTGTGGCTCCCTGGCTTCTGGCAAGCCTCTCACACCTGCCCGCCACACCGCATCCCGCCCCTGGTCATG